AACACAAGTAATCTTATCTGGAATGGACGCATATATCCCACATACAACTAAACGTAGAGCTAATGCAAAACCTTGGTTCAACAGCCAGTGTCAAACGGCTGTACAGAAAAAACACAGAGCATATAACCTTTGGAAACGACAACAAACCGCTCAAAACCACACAGAATTTATAGAAGCCAGAAATAGTTGCAAAATTACTATTGACTCCGCTAAAGAAACATACAATCAAAGAATAAAAAACAGGTTGCTGAATTGTCCAAGTAGTTCTAGGTCTTTTTGGTCTCTTGCAAAAGCTGTTGGATCTAACTTCACCAAGTCATCCATACCACCACTTACAGATAAAAATAATCACTTAGCCACAACATCAGAGGAAAAAGCCAATATGCTTGCCCAAATGTTTTCCTCCAACTCCAACCTAACAGTGCCAAACGGAAAAACTCCACCGTTCATTGAAAGGGTTTCCCATAGTATGCCAGAGGTACACTTTTGTCACAGAGAAATACGAAAATCCCTAAAAAAGCTGGATACAAACAAAGCAATGGGTCCGGATGGCATTCCCGCAATAGTACTCAAAAATTGCGCCAACGAACTCACCCCAACTTTCGCTAAATTATTCAATTTGTCTTACAGGCAAGGAGTATATCCATCATCATGGAAGTCTGCCGCAGTACAACCCATTCCAAAGAAAGGAAAAAAGACAGATCCGTTAAACTATAGACCAATTGCTCTACTTCCGGTGATATCAAAAGTAATGGAAAGAGTTGTGAACAATCACCTAACCAAGTACTTGGAAAAGTACAAAATTATCAACGATAAGCAATACGGATTTCGAAAATATAGGTCAACTGGCGATTTACTTACATACGTCACTCACTTATGGCAAAACGCGATTGAGTTGCGGGGTGAAACAAGAACAATTGCCTTAGATATATCTAAAGCATTCGACAAAGTTTGGCATGAAAATCTGCTCAACAAGCTCAAAGCAATGGGATTATCGCCGAAACTTTGCACTTGGTTTGAAAATTACCTAAAGGACAGATCCATTTATGTTGCACTGGATGGCCAGAACTCCAACTCTTACCAAATAAATGCTGGTGTGCCACAGGGAGCAATCCTTTCGCCAACTCTTTTCCTGATTTACATAAATGACCTCATAGATAAAACAGTAAATCCACTTTATTGCTTTGCAGACGATGGCAATGTAGTCTCCTCACTCATACCACCCACAGGTCTTTCCGCACGTGAATTCCATCATCTTAGACTAACTCAAATATCGCAGATAAATAACGACCTGGAGATAATAGAGGACTGGGGTAACAAAAACCTTGTACAGTTCAACGCGCAGAAAACCCAAGCAGCTCTGTTTTCAAAAAAGACCAGCACCGGTGAGCCAAACATCATGCTATCTGGAAGTGCTGTCACATTACAGAGTCAGTTGAACATCTTGGGGGTTACTGCAGAGACCAACATGTCTTGGCACAGTCACGTGGCAGATATTGCTAAAAGGGCCTCCCAAAAGCTGGGGGTGCTATTTCGTACAAGACATCTGTACACACCAAGCCAATTGCTGACACTCTACAAAGCCCAGATTCGACCAACTATGGAGTACTGCTCACATATATGGAGTGCAGCACCCAAACATACCTTAATGCTTTTGAATACCGTGCAAAAACGAGCTATCAAGCTGATCAATGACCCCGCACTTACTCGTAACTTGGATGGTCTCGAACATCGCAGATCTGTGGGCGATTTATCTCTCTTCTACAGGTACTATCACGGAAAATGCTCTGAAGAGTTGGCACGTATGATTCCACCGAGAGTAGCACCTACCAGGCGAACCCGTCAAACAGACGATAACCATGAATTTACTGTCAAACTAGAGGCACCAAGAACCTCATTATATCAGAATTCATATCTCTGGAGAACAGCATCGCTGTGGAATAAACTCCCTGCGACGGTTTTCCCTGCAGGTTACAACCTGAACCGTTTCAAGACCAACATACACCGACATTTCCGCGCACTTGCCGCTTCTCGAGCGTGATAGGACATTTCCTTGCGAGTGCGCATATCCGTAAAAAAAAAAAAAAAAAAAAAAAAAAAAAAAAAAAAATCTAGGTGTCTAAAGAAAAAATAAGAAAATATGAAATTTTTAATATTTTTTCTTTCGAGAGATGATTTTCGTAAGTTTGACGGCTGGCAAGGAATTTTCCTTTTGAGGGATGATAAAGCATCCCTTGAACAAGCATGTTTCCAAATTTGAACGTGAAGCGCCACCTAGGTGTCTGAAGAAAAATAAGAAAATATATAATGTTCAATATTTTTTCTTCCGAGGGATGATTTTCGTAAGTTTGACGGCTGGCAAGGAATTTTCCTTTTGAGGGATGATAAAGCATCCCTTGAACAAGCATGTTTTCAAATTTGAACGTGAAACACCACCTAGGTGTCTGAAGAAAAATAAGAAAATATAAAATGTTCAATATTTTTTCTTCCGAGAGATGATTTTCCTAAGTTTGACGGCTGGCAAGGAATTTTCCTTTTGAGGGATGATAAAGCATCCCTTGAACAAGCATGTTTCCACATTTGAACGTGAAGCGCCATCTAGGTGTCTAAAGAAAAAATAAGAAAATATGAAATTTTTAATATTTTTTCTTTCGAGAGATGATTTTCGTAAGTTTGACGGCTGGCAAGGAATTTTCCTTTTGAGGGATGATAAAGCATCCCTTGAACAAGCATGTTTCCAAATTTTAACGTGAAACGCCATCTAGGTGTCTAAAGAAAAAATAAGAAAATATGAAATTTTTAATATTTTTTCTTTCGAGAGATGATTTTCGTAAGTTTGACGGCTGGCAAGGAATTTTCCTTTTGAGGGATGATAAAGCATCCCTTGAACAAGCATGTTTCCAAATTTGAACGTGAAGCGCCATCTAGGTGTCTAAAGAAAAAATAAGAAAATATGAAATTTTTAATATTTTTTCTTTCGAGAGATGATTTTCGTAAGTTTGACGGCTGGCAAGGAATTTTCCTTTTGAGGGATGATAAAGCATCCCTTGAACAAGCATGTTTCCAAATTTTAACGTGAAACGCCATCTAGGTGTCTAAAGAAAAAATAAGAAAATATGAAATTTTTAATATTTTTTCTTTCGAGAGATGATTTTCGTAAGTTTGACGGCTGGCAAGGAATTTTCCTTTTGAGGGATGATAAAGCATCCCTTGAACAAGCATGTTTCCAAATTTGAACGTGAAGCGCCATCTAGGTGTCTAAAGAAAAAATAAGAAAATATGAAATTTTTAATATTTTTTCTTTCGAGAGATGATTTTCGTAAGTTTGACGGCTGGCAAGGAATTTTCCTTTTGAGGGATGATAAAGCATCCCTTGAACAAGCATGTTTCCAAATTTTAACGTGAAACGCCATCTAGGTGTCTAAAGAAAAAATAAGAAAATATGAAATTTTTAATATTTTTTCTTTCGAGAGATGATTTTCGTAAGTTTGACGGCTGGCAAGGAATTTTCCTTTTGAGGGATGATAAAGCATCCCTTGAACAAGCATGTTTCCAAATTTTAACGTGAAACGCCATCTAGGTGTCTAAAGAAAAAATAAGAAAATATGAAATTTTTAATATTTTTTCTTTCGAGAGATGATTTTCGTAAGTTTGACGGCTGGCAAGGAATTTTCCTTTTGAGGGATGATAAAGCATCCCTTGAACAAGCATGTTTCCAAATTTTAACGTGAAACGCCATCTAGGTGTCTAAAGAAAAAATAAGAAAATATGAAATTTTTAATATTTTTTCTTTCGAGAGATGATTTTCGTAAGTTTGACGGCTGGCAAGGAATTTTCCTTTTGAGGGATGATAAAGCATCCCTTGAACAAGCATGTTTCCAAATTTGAACGTGAAGCGCCACCTAGGTGTCTGAAGAAAAATAAGAAAATATATAATGTTCAATATTTTTTCTTCCGAGGGATGATTTTCGTAAGTTTGACGGCTGGCAAGGAATTTTCCTTTTGAGGGATGATAAAGCATCCCTTGAACAAGCATGTTTTCAAATTTGAACGTGAAACACCACCTAGGTGTCTGAAGAAAAATAAGAAAATATAAAATGTTCAATAATTTTTCTTCCGAGAGATGATTTTCGTAAGTTTGACGGCTGGCAAGGAATTTTCCTTTTGAGGGATGATAAAGCATCCCTTGAACAAGCATGTTTTCAAATTTTAACGTGAAACGCCATCTAGGTGTCTGAAGAAAAAATAAGAAAATATGAAATTTTTAATATTTTTTCTTTCGAGAGATGATTTTCGTAAGTTTGACGGCTGGCAAGGAATTTTCCTTTTGAAGGATGATAAAGCATCCCTTGAACAAGCATGTTTACAAATTTGAACGTGAAACACCATCTAGGTGTCTGAAGAAACAACAAGAAAATATGAAATTTTCAATATTTTTTCTTCCGAGAGATGATTTTCGTAAGTTTGACGGCTGGCAAGAAATTTTCCTTTTGAGGGATGATAAAGCATCCCTTGAACAAGCATGTTTTCAAATTTGAACGTGAAACACCACCTAGGTGTCTGAAGAAAAATAAGAAAATATAAAATGTTCAATAATTTTTCTTCCGAGAGATGATTTTCGTAAGTTTGACGGCTGGCAAGTAATTTTCCTTTTGAGGGATGATAAAACATCCCTTGATCAAGCATGTTTTTAAATTTGAACGTGAAACACCATCTAGGTGTCTGAAGAAAAAATAAGAAAATATGAAATTTCCAAGGATGATGCTACGCCAATAAAATCTGAAAAATAAATAGCCATTTATATCGGTGTGTATGTCAAAAATATTGATTGTATCGGGTCTTCAAAAAAAAAGGCAATCAAAGAATGCTTGGATTACAAAAACTATTTGACGTGGTTCCGAGGTTAAAAAAGGTCCATGTGTAACCTGTCTAAAAACCAACAAGGATATTTTATTTTTTACTGGCACAACATTGGTGGGCAAATAAATAAATAGAAATGGTATTTAAAAAATATCCTTTTATTAAACACAATTAAATACTGTTCGAGACTTTGTTTTAAAAAATCCAGCTAACAGCCAGTAGTGAGTTATTAGTTTTAGCACACTTATATAACTCACTTTGTTCATAACCAAATCCCTCAAAATTCCCCTAAACCTACCCCAAAAACTCTAAACTTTCTAACTCACTATCCGCTACTTCACTAATCTTCTTCAGAATGTCTTGAAGTAGCACGCTGTGCACCTCGTCCATACTACCGGAAGCGTCCACGATTTTCCAGTTGTCCTCTTGTTTGGCCAAGTTCTCAAACACTTTGGACACCATACTTTGCATTGCTTTGGTCTCGTACCTTTCCTCGCCGAACCCGCTTCTTTTCGCAGCAGCCTCGGCACTCAGCGTAAGCAAAATCACTAGGTCGGGTTTTGGCAAACCGATTTCTGGATGCTTGCACCAGTTTATGTCCATACCTGTAGAAAATGTGGTTAAAATTATATTTATAGAACTTCATTTCATATTACAGTCGGAAAAGTATCACGTCCACGAATATGGTTATGAGGAATGGAAATAATATTCAGCTTTCTTGGACTTATTTATTAAATTTAAAAATCAAATAGCCAACGTTTCGATGCTGGTTAGCATCATCATCAGGGCTGCAAAAAACGAAACAATACAAGTTTAACAAGAAAAAAGGACATTGACATCATTAATTTTTTATTTTTGATGTCAATGTCCTTTTTTCTTGTTAAACTTGTATTGTTTCGTTTTTTGCAGCCCTGATGATGATGCTAACCAGCATCGAAACGTTGGCTATTTGATTTTTAAATTTAATAAATAAGTCCAAGAAAGCTGAATATTATTTCCATTCCTCACATTCATTTCATATGCTATTGAAACTTTTCGCATACTAGAAAAGTTACACAAACTTTATGATACCCTGAGGCTTGTTTTTGGTTTCTTCTAGCATTTCTATCAAAGTCAGAATTGCTCTTTTAAGCAGAAATCTACATTTACCTTTTTTGGCTGAAGAAAATGCAATTCCTGAGTAGGAATACCTGTCCACAATGACAGTAGTCCCCGCATACAAAAAATCCTTCATTTTGTCCACATTTTCCCATCTGTTGGCGGAAAACAGCAAATGTATGGCCTCGTCGTTCAACGTGCACTCGGGATCCCTCAAATAATCGCTAATTAGTTTGCCCGTCAACGTTGTCCTGTCCGGAAAATTCATCAGTTCCGCTTTAAGGTTTTTGTTTCTCAACGACTCCACCAGTTTTTTGCATTGGGTGGATTTGCCAGAACGGTCCACACCTTCGATAACTATCAGGGCTCCTCTTTTTAATGAGCCCATGCCTTATTATCTGAAAATTACCAAGGATTGATTGTTCAAGACACGCACACGCAATATAATTATTACGATATTTATGTTTTCTAATTTATTATGTATTTTGATGCGCCATGGCTTTTTTTTTGGCAATAGTTGACGAGGCATAGAAAAAACTTTTATCACAGGCGAAAAGATTTAATGAAAAAATTGACTTATTTAAGCAATTAAAAAAAATTCACCCTCTTACATTTTAATTTTTTTCTGGAAAACTTGCAGAGAGAAAATTTTGAAATTTTTCCAGGAATAAGAGGAAAATGAGGAGCTCATTTTACGAAAATTCAAAATTTTCCAGTAAAAAATCACTCCAGAAAAAATTTTGAAAAATTGACTTTTTCAAGTAAAATTAAGGAAAATTCACCTCTTACATTTTAATTTTTTTTGCAAAACTGGCAAAGGGAAAATTTTGAAAATTTTCCAGTAATAAAAGGAAAATGAGAAGCTCATTTTACGAAAATTTCAAAATTTTTCAATAGTAATATAACTAGTGCAATGAAAATTATTGATAATTATTGGGAAATTTGCCCGAATGCATTTTTAGTTGAAAAAGAGCACGAGTGCACGTAGTGCACGAGTGCCTTTTTCAGTTAAAAACGCATGAGTGCAAATTTGTCGAAAATTATAAATATATTTCCATTGCACGAGTTGTATTTAATGAGAGAATTTCATAAATCAAAAATTTAAATTTTTTGTCAAAAAATGTCAAAACACCAGTTTTCGCACCAGTTAGTATGCAATTATCTGATAATTTGCGCTAGTGCAAATTATCGCGTAATTACAATCTGATTGGTTCAAATCAACAATCAAAACATGTCAATTTATTGTTGGAATACCAGTTTTGACAGATGTATGAAATTCTCAGTAAAAAATCACTCCAGGAAAAATTTTGAAAAACTAACTCTTAAGTAAAATTAAGGAGAATTCATCCTCTTACATTTTAATTTTTTTCTAGAAATCTGGCAAAAGGAAAATTGTGGAATGTTTCCAGAAGAAAAAGAAAAGTGAGGAGCTCATTATAGAAAAATTTCAAAATTTTCCAGTCAAAAATCACTCCAGGAAAAATTCTGGGAAATTGACTTTTTTAGGCAAAATGCACCCTCTTACATTTTAATTTTTTTTTGGGAAACTGGCAGGAAAATTGTGAAAATTTTCCAGAAAAAGAAGGAAATAAGGAGCTCATTATAGCAAAATTTGTAATTTTCGAAGACTCGTAATTCTCGTAATTTTTCTTTAGAATTTTTTTAATTCCTGTCATTTCTCAAATAATTCTTATAATTTTTTATCAATTCCTGTTGTTCTTCAAATTTTCGTAATTTTTTTATTCCCGTAATTTCTCAGATTATTCCACTCATGTGTTAGAAATCCCATAAGACAAGTGACGATTTTCAGAATTACAGCGAAAATTTTCTTTTCCTTTTGTTTAACTAGAGAGAATTACACCGATAATTCTCCCATGTTATTGTATACATGGTTGTCATGCTAATTTTTGATACAAACAAACGGTTCCTGATAGCAACCATTTATTTGTATTGATTGTTAAGATGTTCAAATCGTTTGATACATATTTATTTCCATATTTTTTGCATCCTCATACGTGAAATAATCCTCTAAATACCATTTGAGCTTTAAAATTAACCAGATAATTTTTCACTCATGCGTGTTTTCTTTGCAAATCGGTAATTTTGAAGCTCTCGTGGTATTATCCCTGAAAATTCCGTTATTTTATTAATTCCACGTACCTTGTATATTTCGAAAATTAGTAGGTAATTCCCGTAATTTCCGTATTTATTCTGGGCATTTTTCAAAATTTGTATCGGTTCCCGAAAGCCTTTTTAATCAGGTTGGTTTTTTTGAAAAAAGGTTGGATTTAGTTCAAAAATAAACGGCGTTGAAGAAGATAGTGTGTATTTGCCGACGTTTCGGCCTAAATTAGGCCATCCTCAGGGCACTAACTAGGATGATATCAAACGTGATATTAACATCATTTATCTCAAAAAAAAAGTGCAGCAAAAAACTGATAAAGTGTTCGCCTCGACCTGATAAATAAACAACTAGGTATAGTGCAGTCAATTTGGAAGTTTTTGAATACGAAAAGATTTATAGTCCAGTCTGTTTAAATTATGTCTTGTTCAAAGTGTAAAGAACCTTTAAATGATAAGGAGATGAAGTACAAAATTATTTGCGACTTCTGTAAATGTATCTACTGCTTAAACTGTTCAAAATTTTCTATTTCGGAGGGACAGGTCACTCAAATGAGGGCCAGAACAATGCTTTTTGCATGTTGCAACTGCATTGATTCAGTTCTAAAAATAAATAAGGACAACACTGAAAATAGTTCTGCAATATTTTGTGATCATAAGGACTCTGTACCCAATAATATTATGCAGAATTTTCTAGAAAACATGAAGACAGACATAATTGGGCAAATATCTCAAGAATGTGATGCCTTCAAGACGGTTTTAACAAGAGAACTAAGACCGAGTACCATTAATTATCAGGCTAATTCTGATGTAGCTGATATGCAAGAGGTACTCGCTAGGTTAGATCTGCTCGAGAAAAATAACAAAAATTTACTTAAAAAGGTTTCTACATTGGAGGATGAGATCAAAGTTCTTGAAAAGTCAAGCATATCGAAAAAAACCTCACCTGAGGTGGAAAACTTGCTTAAACAAACACCTCAAAATAATCAAAACATTCAAAGTAAGGAACAAACTAAAACTAGTAGTAATGTGGAGGAAAAATCTGTAGGAAAACTGCAAACTACACTATCTGCTACATCTGCTCAAAATACAATAATTGTGGGCACTACCTCCAATGTTAGTTCATTCTCTGCTGCAGAGCGGAGACAGTGGATCTACATTGGTCGATGCAATCCGTCCACAACTGAAAAAGATATTACTGATTATATGGCTGACAATTTGGAAATTACCGATGTTAAATGCTTTGTTTTGGATAAGAATGAAGATGTTTCTTCTTTTAAGATTGGAATAAAAGAAAGCGTTGTAAAAGGGCTATTAGATCCGAATTTATGGCCAAAAGGAACTGCTGTCAAGGAATTCCTTCCTAGGAGGCAACCCTCGTGGCAACATAAGGCAACAAATTTTCGGCAAACAAATCAAATAGTTCAGAGTTAATGGACAGCTTAACAGTATTTTACCAAAATGTCCGTGGTCTAAAAACTAAATTAAAAGAATTTCTGACTTCTGTGATATCTGAGTCTTACAGTATAATTGCTATAACTGAAACAAATTTAGATTCTGATATAAATGATTCGGAGCTATTTTCTGGTAATTACATAGTATATCGTACTAATCGTGGTTCTGACAACAGTTCTAAAAAGTCCGGAGGTGGAGTACCCATAGCAGTGAAAAGTGAGTTCAAATCTCAAATAGTTGCAATAAATAACCCTACCGTGGAAGAGGTTTGGGTTGCTGTGCTAGTGGGTAAGTCACATTATTGCATTGGTACAGTATGCATTCCTCCTAGTATGGATTCGTCTGTCTATACTGCTCATATTGAATCTGTTGAGATGGCTCGCAACCAGTTTAATGAAATTATGGTGATAGGAGACTATAACCTTCCAAGATTAGATTGGCGTGTATCCGAGGAGTATATTGGCTTACTTCCTGGCAATGTTACTGGTGTTACAGAGACACTAGTGTGTGATAATATGGCATATTATGGTCTTGCCCAGTATAATGGTGTAAAAAATGACAATGGTAAAACTTTAGATCTTGTTTTACTGATTTAGAAGTGCTGTCACTTAGTAGAACTGTAGGATTAGTTAAGCCAGATGTCCATCATCCTCCACTGGAAATATGTATTTCTATGGATTTCAGTGAGGGTTTAAAGCCTGATTGTGGTTGGAATTATGATTTTAAAAATGCAGATCACTACAGATTAAACCAGTATTTTTTATCTATTGACTGGTATTCACTCTTAGTGGGGAATATGGACAATTTGATTGAGAAATTTTATTATATTTTGTTTGAAGCTTTTGAAAAATACGTTCCTGTAAAACACACAACTGTTAGTACTTTTCCTGCCTGGTTCTCAAAAGAACTAAAAAACCTTATATTTAACAAAAAACAAGCTCATAAAAGATTTAAACACACCGGCAGGCAAGAGGATTACACAGTGTTTTCTAGGCTAAGGCAACAATGCAAAACTTTAACTGAAATGGATTATAACAAATTTATTGAAAATTCAGAAAACTCAATTAATAACAACCCTAAACACTTGTGGAATTTTATTAAAACAAAAAAGGGAAGGAGTGATTGTCCCAAGATTATGAAATTTGGTGACAGAGTTGCGGATAATGGAAATGATATTTCTAATTTGTTTGCGGATTTTTTTTCTTCTGTTTATACTTCTGATTCACAAAATTTATCTGACTCTGACTGCATTCCGGAGTTTGACCAGGATTATTCAGATATGTATCTGAGTGCCCCTGAAATAGAGAAAGTACTAAAAGAGCTTGACAGTTCAAAGCCTATGGGTCCAGATGGTGTTCCTCCATCTGTTTTGAAATGTTGTGCTGAATCTCTTTATATGCCACTGTATATAATATTTAATAGATCACTAAAAATTGGTGAGTTTCCAGCCGTATGGAAAAAATCTTTTGTAGTTCCAATTTTTAAATCTGGGGACAAAGGAAATGTCGGCAATTACCGTCCAGTTAGTATTCTTTCAGCTGTTCCTAAATTATTTGAGCATTGTGTTGAGATAAGACTAAAAAGGTTCTTTGAGAAGATAACAGTATCAGGGCAGCATGGTTTTACCTCTGGTCGTTCTGTTGATACCAACCTGTTTTTATATACCAACTTTATTTCTACTGCTATGGTGGAAGGTGCTGAGGTTCATGCCATTTATATGGACTTCAGCAAAGCTTTTGATAGAGTGAGCCATGCTGTTTTGATATCAAAATTGAGAAAGTATGGTATTGCTGGGTCATTATTGGAATGGATGGAATCTTATTTATCGAATCGGTACCAACAAGTAAGGATAGAAGGTTATCTGTCTAATATATTTTTTGTCACATCAGGGGTTCCACAAGGGTCACATTTAGGTCCCCCTTTGTTTAATATCTTTATAAATGACATTTGTTCTTTCTTGGAAGTTGCATATTTATTATTTGCTGATGACCTAAAAATATATGCCAGGATTCTGTCACAACAAGATCAAGTTAAAATCCAGAATGATCTTAACAGGATAAACAGATGGTGTACTCTTAATAGCATGACTCTAAACACAGAAAAGTGTCAAGTTTTGCGGTTTAGTAGGCTTAAAAATAACTTCCCTATGACTTACATGTTAGGTGGTAGTCTGTTAAAGGAGGTCTCTGTTGTGAAGGACCTGGGTGTGTATCTAGACACAAAATTGACATTTTCTGAGCACTATGAAAAAGTCATAGCCCGTGCGGGTAGAATGTTGGGATTTGTTAAAAGATCTTGTCAGGATTTTACAAATGTAAAGACACTTAAAATTCTTTTTGTTAGCTTTGTGAGATCTATCCTCGAGTTTTCTAACATAATTTGGTCACCATTTTTTAATATATACATAGATCGCCTTGAGAGCATTCAGCGTAAGTTTATTAAATTTGTACGTTACAAACTGAGTAGAAAGGGTATTTTTTTATCAGTGGAAGATACATATAAGTATTTGCAATTGAATTTTCTTAGGGACAGAAGGGAGTATTATGATGTATGTTTTGCATTTAATGTTATCAATAATTATATTTGTAGCCCAGAATGTCTTTCAGTAATGAAATTTCATGTTCCTGGTTACATAACTCGTAATGCTCCACTATTACAAGTCCCACCGAGTCGTACTCTGTATTTTATGTATAATCCAGTAAACCGTATTAGCAGAAATGTAAATAAATTTTGCCATCAACTTGACTTCTTTACTGTTTCAAAAAATAGATTTAAGACTTCTGCCAAGAAGAAAATTTTAGGTTAAGAAATATTTGTATTTAATCTTGTAAATGTGAATGCGTAAATAAATAAATAAAATAAAATAAAATAAAATATCAAATTAAGCTTGATTCAGCTCTATCAGTAAATTTTTTGGGTCAGAGTTTGCTCTTTTAATGCTGAATTTAATGCATTAAAAGCTATTACAAATATCAAATAATAATTTTTTCTACGAGCGTGCGTGAAATCCCACTTTTCCGCACGCATTTAAAGTCATGAAAGTACCACTTTTTCGCAGAGTGCATTTTGGAAAAGTACTAAAACCGTATAGGTACAAATATTTTTCATCTCCTAGAAAAGAAGTTTATACAGCACATAATATAACATAAGAAAAAAGATAAAATAAAACCTCGAATAAAACATAACATATTATTCAATATTCAATATATTATTATTACAATTTTAAAAGATTTACAATAATAATTATGGAATGTATAATATACTTTAAATTATATCAACATAGTGTTGTGGGGTACCTAGAAAACTAAATTTCTGTATGTACCTACTACATATAAAACTGGATTTTGATAATTTCTAACTTAAAATATTTGCCTAAATACTAATTAAATATAATCAAAAATTTTTAGTGTACGCCATGACAGAAGAAAAAGAAAAAAAGGGAAACAATTCTCCGCCTGATTGATTAAAAGGTTAAAACAAAGATGAAAACTTGACAAAGTTACTATATATGAAGTCTCTACAGTTATGCATAAATTTTTTTTTGTTAACTGTCATCCTTCTGAGTTCCACTGGTAGGATGTTGTAGATTTTAACACCAAGATATTCAATAGATCTTATATTTAAATTAGTGGCACTGTTAGGTATCTGTAGGTCTCTTACAACATTGGACCTGGTGGAGTAGGAGTGACTGACATGTTCTCCCACTATTTTGACATTTTGATACATATAAGAACAGACACTCAACACATACAAACACCTTAAGGAGAGGATTTTATTACTATAAAGTTGACAGGTGGGAAACATTTTATCTTTTCCAAAAATAATCTTGAGAATATAATTTTGGACTGTTTTCAGGGGTTTTAGTGCATTTTCATATGAACTACCCCATACAATCATAGCATATCTCAAGAGAGATTCTACCAGAGCTCTATAAACACAGATTAAAAGATGTTCATTTAATATTTCTTTTATCATATAAAATTTACGAATTAATTTTCTAATATTACTAGTCAACCTAGTCACATGTTGCTTCCATTTGAGGTTCTGATCAATAATTACTCCTAAATATTTAGTATGTTGCACCTCTCTAATTTCTCTTTCAAATCCGTCTACCCTAATGCCATCAAAATTGGGGCGATTTGCCATTGTTAAGGAGAAAGCTATATAGTTAGTTTTTTCAACATTCAAAGTGAGTTTAAAAGTATCAAGCCAATTTTTAATATTATGTAGCCCATGAGAGGCATGTGTATATACTTCTTCCCATGTTTCTCCTGTAAAAATCACAGCGGTGTCATCCGCATAGGATATCACCATGCCATTATCTATCGGAATATTAGTCAAGGAGTTAATGTATAATGAGAAAAGCAAAGGGCCCATAACTGTTCCTTGAGGAATGCCAATCAGAACCTCCGAACTATTGCTTAATACATTATTAATTTTTGTCAATTGCTTTCGACCTGTTAAATAGCTTGCAAAGACATCCAACACAACACCTCTGACCCCATAAATGTTTAAAACATCAATAAGAGAGTCATGAGGCACTGTGTCAAAGGCCTTCGCAAGATCAAGAAAAGCAGTTAGACATTTTTTACCACTATCAAGGTGTTTTGTGATTGCTCTTGTGAGCCTGAGAATAGCATCAACAGTGCTAATACCATTATAATATAATAAATAAGAATTTTTTCTACTACCGTGCGTAAAGTACTCACTTTACGCACTATTCAGAAGACGTAAAATTTTACTTCACACACTAGGGCGTAAAGTAATTCACTTCACACACTAGTGCGTAAAGTAGTGTTGAGGTAATGTCAATGACAGTTGTCAACACTGTCAATTCGGCATTTTTCTGGTAAACTACACTAGTGTGTAAAGTATTTGTCCAAATTTATTTTTTTACACATATTTGATTGGTAGTAATAAAAATTTTGTATGCAATACGTGCGTTATGCACCTTTTTTCACTAATGTGATTGTCGCACTCGCCTTCGGCTCGTGCGTCAAAATTCACATTCGTGAAAAAAGGTTCACTTTACACACTTGTTGCATACCTATTGTGGCGTCTATACAGAAAATAACATGACTTGTTCCTAACTTGCGCGGAAAGTTCATTTTCATAACTTAAGCCAAACTCTGCAATTGCGTGCGGAAAATTGGCACTCTCCACACTCCAAATAAGCTAGGAAATATACTTTACTATATTACCTTTACTGCAGATTAAAACTTTAACCACAGATCTGGAAAATTTGTTAGTCCGGCTTTTTCCAAATTCCACCGATTTTCTGCAATTTGCACTGTTTTGATTTCCTCAAATAATTTACTCCTTCGATGACTATCAGAATCAAGGCAACTCTTTTTAATGCTTGAATAATTCAAATCATAGAATATTCAAATTAACAAGAGATAATTTAAAACCCACACAACAAAACACAACCTGCAACTTTTGTTTATATCTTAGGTTTAGAGTGCGTTCAAAATCACCAGGGGCGAGTTCAGGAATGACACACCCAGTGTGAGTGTGACACCGGTGCGACGCCCTAGCTGTTCAAAAATCGAAAAATGCTAGACGGTGCTATGGGCCCAATGGCCAACTGTCAATTCAGGCACACCCATAAAATCGCACTCGCACCCTGTGCGTTATTTCTGAACTCGGTCCAGGGTTGCGTTTAGAAATAGCACTCTGGGTGTGAGAGTGATCCTAGAGTAACTCTAAACCGTACATAAATTAACAGGTGCTTACTCGGAGCATTACACTGGAGTCGTTAAGAAATCGAGAGTTGACGTGCCCAGAGTGCGTCCAAATTACCCCACTCAGGGACTGGGCTGAAAAACGCCCGCATCCAGAGTGCACTCCAAGTGATGACGTCAGAACACTCTGAAAAACAACTATTCTACCTTCATATTCCATTTTTGAATCCACTGCAGCTATGATTGCTATGAATAATTCATCATGGCATGGCTGACAGGGCAATTTCGAACGCACTCTATTCATTTTTCCTACCGAGAGAAAAAGTGTTTTCTGTTTTTAGGATATTGGCAATAGCTACCTTGAAGTTGAGTTCGGAATGGGATTTTAGTGCAGTGCACTAGCACAGTGTTATATCACGTGATGAAGGTGTAATCGGCGGTGTAACACCGAATACACCATCATTTTGTACCGAGTAAACGGTGTCCCACCATCTTCACACCATTCGGACACCAAACTATTTCCAAACGCAAAAAAAGTGTACACCAAACACTCTTACCAATTAAAAAACGCTTTAAGTGTCAATAGTGTAAAATTTGTAAAAAGTGTCGATACTTTCTACCATTCCAAACTCACCTTGAATCTACCTTGAAAAAATAAAATGGCATTTATTTAAAAGAAAAGGACTAGGACAGCTCTGTGAATGTTATCCTTGCTCTTTTTCTCTCAATCACTAATCAATCAGGGCCGATTTCTCAATCTCACTCTCAATAGCGAGTGACCTTTAAGTTATAGGTTTTAACTCCAGGGCAGTCCAGGGTAAGCGACAAGCGTGTCCAGTTGCTATGTTTTGCAAACAAATTTTATAATTGAATTTTTTCTAACTCTGCCAGAAGCTGTACACGTCTTTCGTTTCGTCTTTCCGTGCGTGCGGTGTTTTGTTCCGAGTTCTCCGAGCATGAATTTACCGTTCGTTTATTTAAAAATAAGTGTTCTCGGTGCAGGCTCATTCACGTTCGTTTATTGAAATTTCGAGCCCTCTGATACAGCGTTTAAACGCTCCGATCTGCTCTATGAGCAAAATACCGAACGCAAGGTTTGTAGCAACACTTCACTAATCAATGACAATTTGACATTCTCCTCAAATCAAATGTCATTAATGTCAATTCAACAATTTTTGCCAATCATTCGAATTTCCAATATCATTATTTTCAATTTTCAATATTTATAACTATATTATATTCAATTTTCCACAATAAAAAACTTTCCAACATGACTGCAATGGAGCCGGAACGTGAGAAAGTCCTGCAGGACTACCGAAAAAAACTAATGGAACACAAAGAAGTCGAGTCTCGACTGAAAGAAAGTAAGCACATCTTTGTTGTCCTCTTTATAGAACTAATTTTCAATTTCCTTAGTGCGAGAGCAATTGAAAGACCTCACAAAACAGTACGACAAATCGGAAAATGACCTGAAAGCCTTGCAGAGCATGGGCCAGATTGTCGGTGAAGTCCTAAAGCAGCTCACTGAAGAAAAGTTTATTGTCAAAGCCACAAACGGTCCACGTTATGTTGTAGGATGCCGCAGGCAACTAGATAAGCTAAAATTAAAAGCTGGTACTCGTGTAGCCTTAGATATGACAACTCTAACCATAATGAGGTATTTGCCAAGAGAAGTCGATCCTTTAGTTTACAATATGAGCCACGAAGACCCTGGCGATGTCACTTATTCGGCTATTGGTGGTCTTTCTGAGCAAATTCGGGAATTACGTGAAGTAATTGAATTGCCTCTAATGAATCCTGAATTGTTTATGAGAGTAGGCATTACCCCACCTAAAGGTTGTCTTTTATATGGGCCTCCTGGTACTGGTAAGACTTTACTAGCTAGAGCTGTCGCCTCTCAGTTGGATGCAAACTTTTTAAAAGTAGTCTCCAGCGCTATTGTTGACAAGTACATTGGAGAGTCGGCAAGATTAATCAGAGAAATGTTCAATTATGCCAAAGACCATCAGCCTTGTATAATTTTCATGGACGAAATCGATGCTATTGGTGGACGAAGATTTTCAGAAGGTACTTCTGCTGATCGTGAAATTCAGCGTACCCTAATGGAACTGCTAAACCAAATGGATGGATTCGACTCTCTGGGACAAGTTAAAATGATTATGGCAACTAACCGTCCCGATACTTTAGATCCAGCTCTATTGAGGCCTGGTCGTTTGGACAGGAAAATTGAAATTCCTTTGCCCAACGAACAAGCCAGGCTTGAAATTTTAAAAATCCATGCAGGGCCCATTGCTAAGCATGGAGAGATTGATTATGAGGCAATTGTAAAGCTTTCAGATAATTTTAATGGGGCTGATTTGAGGAACGTTTGCACTGAAGCTGGTCTCTTTGCTATCAGATCTGAACGGGAGTATGTTATTCAAGAGGATTTCATGAAGGCAGTGAGGAAAGTGGCTGATAACAAGAAATTGGAGAGCAAATTGGATTATAAACCAATATAATTTGTTAATTTTAGGAAGTATTTTTTTTTTAATGTAATTTAATCCTGATAAAAAGTTTTTTCTGAAGTAAGTTTTTGTTGTTTGATGTTTTGAAGCAAACAAGCAAAAGTTTCAGTCCTTGAGTCACGGATAAGGGAATTGTGATTTCTTCAAGTAGAAAAACTTGACAAGAAACTAACTTTTCACTTTAAAACCTAATGGAGCCACAGTTTGAGTAGAGTGGGTCAGTTAAGTTAGCCCCCCCCATAGAAAATTTCTGGATGAAAATTATCCCATAATTTTGCTCCATTAATTTCGATATTTGCTCCATTACAGTGGAGAGACTATGTGGCCTATTAGGTGGGAGGGGGCTAAATTAACGTTAGCCCCCCCCCAGTGAAAATTCAGAAATTTGATCATGCTCATCTTGTTCTCCAAGTTTTTGCTCCATAATCGGCGAGTTTTGCTCCATTACCAGGAGAGACTCTACAGAACTCTCAAAAATCTCTCCTAGCCCCCACCGGTGAAATTTTTTAAATTTGAACATGTTCATTTTGTTCTCCGAGTTTTGCTCTATTATCAGGAGCCGCTTCTAGGTGCCACGCTTTGAGCGGTCAGCGCTCTTGAGTTAGTCCGAAGTACTCCGGCTACAATTTACACATTCGGGCGAACAGAGTTTGGCGCTCCCAAGCTGCTCTCACTTTCCTCGGCTCTTTCCCCTGAGACTCTATTCACGAAACCAAGGTCATTGTCAGAATTATGGAAATATGAATACAGACGACGGAGACAGAACCATAAGCGCAACTAGGCTCCAAATTTGAGGGGTGCTACAGCACCATTTTTTTTTATGATGGGGTTTGATAGAAAGGAAATGAGACGCGTAATCAAAGTTAGTTTCACAAGGGTTTGTATTTACGTCATCATTTGCCTTTTTTTTGAAAAATAGGTTTTTTTATGTCTAAAATTTCAAACAAACATATAGTTCGTCGCATAGCATGAAGGTTTTTACTTACATCATCGATGACGTCATATCTTAGAGAAAAAGTTAAGTCATAGATTAATTCATGGAGCACCTTCAGAATTATTATTTTGTAATACATTTTTTAACTTAGAATAGAATTTATTCAATTATCCGAAAATATATAAATAAATTTATCCTGGAGTGATTTCTCGCTGGAAAATTTTGAAATTTTCCTCTAATGAGCTCTTCACTTTCCTCTTTCTCCTGTAAAAATTTCAAAATTTTCATATTGCTAGTTTTCCAGAAAAAAATTAGCATGTAAGAGGGTGAATTTTTCCTTAATTTTACCTAAATAAGTCAATTTTCTTTGAATTTTTCCTGGAGTGATTTTTCACTGGAAAATTTCGAAATTTCCCTGTAATGAGCTCCTCACTTTTCTCTTTATCCTGGAAAATTTTCAAAATTTTCCCTTTGGCAGTTTTCCAAAAAAAAATTGAAATGTGAAAGGATGAATTTTGCTTAGAAAAGTCAATTTTCCAGAACTTTCCTAAAGTGATTTTTCACTAGAAAATTTTGAAAATTTCCTATAATGAACTCCTTATTTTCTTCTTTTTTCTGGAAAAATTTCACAAGTTTTGCTTTATAAGTTTTCCAGAAATAAATTAAAATGTGAGAGGATGAGTTTTTCTTAATTTTACTTGAAAAAATCATTTTTTCAGAATTTTTCCTGGAGCGATTTTTCATTGGAAAATTTTTAAATTTTCTTATAATGAGCTCCTGACTTTCCTCTTTCTCCTCTTTTGCCAATTTTCCAGGAAACAATTGAAATGTGAGAGGATAAATTTTCCTTAATTTTACTTGAAAAAGTCAATTTTCCAAAATTTTCCCTAGTGATTTCTTACTGAAAATTTTCGAAATTTTCCTATAATGAGCTCCTCACTTTCCTCTTTTTCTTGGAAAATTTCCAAAATTTCCCCTCTGCCAGTTTTCCAGGAAAAAATTAAAATGTAAGAGGTGAATTTTCCTTAATTTTGCTTAAATAAGTCAATTTTCCAGAATTTTTTATGGAGTGATTTTTCATTTGAAAATTTTAAAATTTTTGCAACAATTTCTGTAATTTTCATAGTTTTTCGTAGTATCTATAATTCTCGTAATTTTTCGTTATTCACGTAATTTTTCATAATTTCCATTTTTCGTAAATTCTGTAATTTTCTGTAATATTAAAAAAAATTCCGTAATTTACAAATAATTCCTGTAATTTTGAATAATTTTGAGAAATTCCTGCATTTTTGGACTAATTCCTGTAATTCCCCTATTTTTTTGTAATTTCCGTTATTTTTCGCAATTTCTGTAATATTCGAATAAGTTCCGAAATTTCAGAATATTTTTTGAAATTTTGAATTATGTATATAATTCCTATAATTTTGAATTGATAATTTAAAAAATTACGGAAATCACAAAAATTAGGAAAATTATAAAAATTCCATTAAAAAATTACGGAAAATACAGGAATACGGAAAATATAGAATTAATAAAAATAAATTGAAAAATTATAGAAATTTCAAAAATTACAGGGATCGCGAAAAAAATGAAAAAAATCGGAAAAATTGCAAAAATCACGGGAATTTTGAAAAATCACGGGAAATACGTTAATTATTAAAAAACTAAGAGGAAAATTGAAAAATTACAAAAAAATCGGGTATTACAAAAGCAATGAAAATAAAAAAATTTGAAAAATACTGGAAATTCAAAAATTATTTAAAATTAAAAAATAATTGAAAAATTACCTAAAATACGGAAACTACAAAAAAATAACGAAAATCATTGAAATAACAAAAATCATTAAAATTGCAAATATCATGAAAATTTGAAAAAATTACAGCACTTACAATTATTGAAAAATTAAAATGAGAATTGCAAAATTACGAAAAAAACCGGGAATGGAAATACTTATGTAATGGAAATTATTTTAAAAAATTACTGGAATTTCAAAAACTACGTGAAATTGCAAAAATCATTGGCAAATTACGGAAATTACGAAAATATTACAAAAATCACGAGGATTACAAAAATCACGAGAATTTCAAAAATTATGTAGAACTGCGAAAATCATGGGTAAATTGCGAAAATTAAATTTGAAAAAAATTAGGAGAATTATAAAATTACGAAAAAAATCACGGCAATTTCAAAAATTATTAAAATTTCAAAAACATTGGAAAATAACGTATAGCGGAAAATTAACAAAAATTACGAGAATTACAAAAATTACGGAAAATTTAAAAAGTTACGGAAACTACCATTATTAAAAACTAAAAAGGAGAATTATAAAATTTGAGTATTACAAAAGCAATGAAAATTATTGGCAATTTCAAATATTACGTAGAACAAAAGTCATTGATAAATTACGTAAATTACAGGAATTATAAAAATTAAAAATAATGAATATTACAAAAAATCAGGGATCGACCGATACCGATATGGCATATCGGTATATCGGCGTATCGGCCATTTTCAGGTATATCGGTGTATCGGCATATCGGCCCTTCATTGGCCGATAACTTTAGACCGATACAAATCATATTTTGAAGATCAGTAATCATCACTAAGGCTTTTTTGAAGCTTAACACATTGACTGCCACGTCATACATATATGAATGACACGGCCACTTCCGTTCCGGCCGCGTCATTCCTATTTGTATGACGGTTCAGTTTCACTTCTAGGCCATGTCATACACTCATGTATGACAGCCTGTGTATTTTAAATGGAGATATATTTGCGTGGCCCCTGGGGATTCTCAAGGTAAACTTGGCCAGAGCAAATTTTGTTGGGTTATGGTCTAAGACGAATAAAGCCAAAAATTTACTTAAAATAGGTATAATTTCAGGTTAAAAACTGTCAAACAAAAAAAAAACTAATTCTTTCTGATAGAGTGTGTTCCTAAATATCATGTACAAACGAAAGGGGGTAATTCTTTAGTTTATTTTATGAATAAAATTTCTAATAAATATAGGTCCACAAACGCTTCGTTACCGATCTACAGGGTGTTGAAATTTTAATATTTTTTTAGGTTTTCTCTGTAGCTCCTGCATTTTATCAGAGATTTAGCTCAAATTTGAAATAAAGGTTACGTAATAAGAGCTGAATGATTGATTGCACATATCAAGCGTTTGCCAGAATCTACAGGGTGATGTTTTTTCAGGGGTCATGCCCCCTTTTCTGCCCCTGAACTTTTTCGCGGTGCGTCACTGGTCGATTTTAAGAAACAAAATAATTTTTCTACCTTATTTAGAAACTTTTTGTTCTCTTGTAGTTACTTCGTATCACCGACCCTTATCAAGAAAAAAATTTAAAAAACAAAATCTCTGTGATTAGCTAGATGAAACCAAAGTGACTGAATAAACCTTTTCCAACTACAGTGGCGACAATAGAGGTCCCGCAGCCATATTTTTACTCATTTTCGATAGGAATCTAGAAGTAAAGACACTCCTCGTCGCCATGAATGACGTGGCCAGTGCGAAAAAATTTCGTCAAAGTTTTCCAGGGGGCCGCGTCAATCATATATGAATGAGACAACAAAAAATGCAAAAAAGCCAAAAAAATAAAAAACAAACAAAATTATAAGTAAATTTTCACTGTAAAATAAAAGAAAAGCCAAAAAATACGAAAATACAACTTTGGCCCCCAGCGAATAATTCAGGATTTAGCCTTGGCAGTCAATGTGTTAAAACAGCTAATAATTGTGGTTGGTACCAGGTGTTTGTTTATAACTGGAACACTCAGTTAGAGATTGAAGTTTACCGGTAATTTTCATTTGTTCTTTCTCAGTGGTAATTTACCGGTAATTTTTCGGTTATTTTGGTAATTTTGGTAATTTTGCAAATATTTCATGAAACAAACAATTATGACTATATACTATACCTATATACGTTCAAGAATTATAGATTTTCAGGATTTTTTACCAAAACGACCATTTATTATATTGTTTGTAATAAAACCTAATCTCATAGAAATATAACAATATTTAAACAAATAATAATTCCTAATTCCTGGAAGGAAAAACGTGCAAAGAAAATCAAACAAAAATAAAATAGAAATAAATTCTCCTAATCTGGTGCTGAACTTAATAGTAA